ACGGTTTTTCGCGGAGCGGCTGCGAGGGAGAATTAATCTATTTCAAGGTCCCCTGGACCACTTCATGCCTCATTGCTAGACTGGGAGGCTGCGCCGGGCTCCGCCGGGCTGCTCCTCATCAGCAGCCGTCCGTCCGTCATCTCCTTCCCGCGGGCGGAGCAGAGAGCGTTGCCGCGCGCGCGCGCAATTCGGAATTTCTCATGATTGCCAACCCGACACACACAAAACACAAAAGCGGCAGTCGCACAATGTGAAGTTGTTGAGTAGGGCCCGGCGGGCGCGGCGCTCATCAGGCGCGCCGATATTGAAGACGAGATGAGGCGCGGCGCGCGCACACAGCACACAAGAGGCAAGGGAAGTGGAACATCTTGAAAAGTAAAATTTTTCAGTGTGACCCCTAAAGATTTTTGGTTTTTTGTTGTTGTTTTTTTTTTTAACTGTAATGAAATTTTTCTCTTGTTTTATAGAAAATAGCAAAGAAATTGCGTTCGTTTAACAACAAAAATTCTTTGGGGTTGTAATTTTCCTTTAAATTAGGGCACAATATAAAATTTCTTTGTTGTTTTTTTTACGCTAAATAGCCTTGATTCAAGGCTTTTTTTTTAGAGCTGTTCCTTGTTTCAAGTGAACGAATTTTGGGGGCGTGGGCGTAAAATGAAGTTATTCACAAAAATAAAACATACCATTCAATAATGCTTCCGTTATGTCATCTACCACTGTAAAATACGGATGCAAACAAAATTGAAAGGGGCTTGCGACTCACAAACACAGAAGGAAAAAGTCACTGCTCTGCTGTGAGTGCATGGCAGATGGCGTTCGTTTACGTTATTCCTACCCTGTGCCTCTACCTCTCTGCGCGCGTGAGCGTACTCTGCTGCCGCGCTCCCTGTCGCACTCGGCACGCGTAGAGCGTCGAAGAAAATAGTCGTGATTGTCCCGCTCCCCGCCCTGCCCCTCCCCAGGGGCGTTTCATTACGGCACTAAATGGGACCTAATCACTTTTGTACTTGTGTCGCGTGGTGATGGCGCGCCCTAGCGAGAGAGAAAGAGAGAGAGAGAGAGAGAGGGGGGG